AAAATATTTGCTCTGCATTTAACAGGACAGGGATTCTGGAATTATGCGCGGAAAAAATCAAAATTATGCGGGATTATGCGCGAAATTATGTGCGATGACGTCACATCGCTTAAAACCTAAAATATGACTAATTCGGATTAGGAAACTCAATTATTTTGTTTCGTTTTATAAAGAGAGAACAATTCTTGTAAACGTCCGCCATCTTGGAAACCGCTAATGGCTGTGAAACCTGGGCCGAGCCACAGGAAACCCATCACTAAATGAATGTCATAAAAACAAAATGGCGTCGCGCGCGGTTGAGCGCACRTATGGCATTGTTTTGTTAAAAAAATGATACTTTTTAGTACTTTGTATGACGATAAAAAAGGGAAAAAAACAATACTCAAGCCAGACGCAAGATAGATAGCATATATATTGATTTTTTGACAAATTATGCGGAGAATGGCCGATTATGCGGGTCCGCATCAGCGCATAATTCCAGAATTCCTGACAGGAGAGTACAAAATAGCATATTTTACAATAAATGTCATGTAATGTCCATGACAAAATTTATGACATCATAATTAATGCGATATTGCATTTTTTTGATAAAAAGGTTATTTATTTGTGAAGTACACACCATTGACTTTAGTATGATGAGAAATTTTTGTATTGATTAAACTTTTTAAGCTCTTTGAACTTTGAACAATTAAAACAATTTTGTTCTTACATGTCATTTTGGGGGTAATTTAAAAAAACATACTTTGAAAAAACATACCCCCCCCCCCCCCCCCAAGTACACAAGTAGCACAATCCGATTTGTACATTATTTTTTCAAAGGTTTAGGTAATACTACAAACTGGCCACTATAGATATTTGCCAAAGTCAATTTTATTTTTTCACTTTTTGCTTGTTCTCGCATGGAACTGCCCTTTTACATGTAAAATCAAAATGCGGTGGAAATTGTTGTCGGATCAAAGCTTACAAAGTAATCAATGTGCACTTTTTCACATATAAAATACAAACAGACTACATAGAACTATGTAAAGGCTATACATAACCAATACATACTGACTACATAGGAAATCCAACATTTATGCATAAATTATGTATGAGAATAAAACTATCTAAATTCTATGTTGTTTTCTTACATAGTGAAATTCAAAACATAGAAAAATGACAGAAAAATACATAGAAAATGCATAGTTATTCAAAACCTATATGTTAACATTGTACATACATGTAGATTGATTTAAAGAACAAAAAAAAATCTTAATTTCAGCAATTAGCAGAAATTAAGATAGAGGGTCATTCCACCATTAYGGACATTACATCCAGAGGCCATTTTACAATTTGTTCTTTGTGCTCTTTCAAGACAAACAATTATAAAGTTTTGCTCTATTTGCTACATGTAGATTGTACCTAGGGCATGTCTCTTYCAATTCATAGAAGAAAAATATGACAAGACTCTACCAGATATCATAATATATTACTTTCAAATTGCGTTACGAACATTACAGCTAAAACAACCACTGTTCAAAGTTTATGATTTCAAGTTCCAATTCCTCTGGATTCAATCGGTTCTCAAGTCAATGACTACTTTGTTATGATGGACTATGAGTAGAAGTTTTGTAAGTTCTTTACATTTTTAACCTAGTAATTTCTGAAAGTATTGTGTTACGGAGTTTACATAATATGTTACGGACATTACACTTTCTGAAATACATGGAATCAGACCTAACCGGCCCTGGTAACAATGAAACTGCATGAAGAAATGCTTCATCTGTTGCCACCCACAGCACAATCTATGTGTGGCAAGTACTTTGCTGTGGATTTTATCCATAAGTTCTACTTAGGTCGAGCATTGGAGGTAGATGAAAAYGACTTTGTGAAGTTCAAGTTCTTACATCATTCTGGGGCTGAGAGGTTTGACTGGCAAATCAGAGACCTACACTTCCTGTGTATTTTTGGGCCCATTTGATTTGCAGAGATCCACATTTCCTGTCTATTTTTGGGCCCATTTGATTTATTGCAAGGAAATGGGCCATTCCACATTCATTGTTTTAACGTTATTGAAAAACTCTTGAAGCATTCAAGCTACAATTAGCTCATTTGATTATATTATCAATTATGGCATGAACACTCAATATACTAGTATTATATTAAATGTTACACCACATAACTGTAAAATACACTGACAGTATATAAAACTTTTCCAATTTTTTGCACCTTGTCATAGAATTGACCATACATGTATCTCCGGAATACATATTATGCTTAGCTGTCACATAAAAGATAATTAATAATGTTATTGATTGTGCAGAGCTAACATTTTTGATATTAGGTAGACATTTATTTGTGTAACGGACATTACATACCCAATGATGTAATGTCCGTAACATTTTTTAAATGTAATGTCCGTAACACCATTTTTTCCATAAAAAGCTACATATTCTGAAACTGCATCATACAGTAATATGAAGCTAAATGTAAGTTGGTCTCATTGGCCGGGGCACTAGTCATAATATGCAACCCATATAATTTTGTTTTGTTTTGTTTTTTCAAGTCAGAAGTTTGCCTTCGGCAGGGAGGTGTCAATAATTTTTAAAGTAAAAGGYTTTACAAGAAAAGTAAACGTCTGTGATCTGGTGCCCGACCCATAAGGGTTCCCCCCGGAAAATTTTGAAATTTAAAGTAGTGGAAATGCACTTTTCCCACATTTTGAGGGTAACATAATTCATTGATCAAAAAATAAAGTTAACACTGAAAATATACTCAACTTTTTAATCTCTTTACCATAAAATTTGTTGACTTGTTTTTTCTTACAGTAGTGATCAGAAAATTTATGAAYATTTTCCTCAAAAATGTACATAAGAGGTCAATTCCATGTTGTGGACATTACCTTCAGAGGCAAAATATGGCTACAAAACTGTTCACAACTACTAACTGTAGCAAGCTAGGTGGATCAAACTTTGCTATAATTAAGCTCAAGGGGGCCCTCACACTATGTATGTGAAAAAAACAGATACCTCCTTTCCCTCCCTAAGGCATATTTCCAGTCCATAATCATGACAGATAAAATATACATTATGACAAGGTTAATGGAGACAAAATGTACGAAAAAACACAATCGACACGGCTTGAAACTCAACCATTTATTTGCCAAAAAAACCCTTGCTGTTCAAATTGACTGCTGTTATGCATACTGTAGAAGATACATGTACATCTTAATTTTGATGTCTTAGAGACTTACCTGCTTTTGATTATTAACGAATTAGTTAATAGTCAGTGATGTAATTTCAACTGATTATTTCTAGGTTGAAGCACAATGTCAGGGATTATTAAATTTTACCATAATGACCTGAAACTTCTCAGGGGTGTTGAGAAAACTAAGAAGGACACTATCTTGTAGTTTGAAGTAATTTTATTCAGTATTACCACTTTTATTGAACTTTTCTTTTTCTCTCAATGAAAGCCTTCCAAGTCCAGTGCTTGGGCTACCTGTGCAAAATATTACCTTTTATAAAGTCATTTCAGATTTTATTTTATTTGTTTGACTGTTCTTCTAAGAATCCATGTTGGCATGGTCTTTGGTTTAAAATGTCCACGCAAAAGAAAAAGTTCACACAGATCATTGCTTTTCTCCATGTTTTTGCATTAAGGTCTTACTTCATATGTCTCTTTGTTTTCGTGTTATGGAAAAAATGTCTAAAAGAGAGCCTTAAAAAGACTTGAAAAATAATTGCTTATAATTATCTTTCACAAATCAAATTCCTGATTGTGCAAACGTGTTGTAGTTACATGTATGACAAAATTGGCTGAAATCTCTTTGCTTTGTTTTGCCCATTGATTAAGATTTCTTTTTTTGCAATAGATTTTACTAAAATTATCAATTATCAAAAAGATAAATTTTGAAGGCAAAATTTCAGCATTTCATTTAAAATATTCCTGCGGTGGTGCACAGATGCARGTTGTTCGTATGCCAGGTGAACCCTATGTTGCCCCATGAAAAATTGTCTCGATGGTTTACCATTTTTTCTTAGCTATGGTGCTCGACTCCACTATTATTTGGCAGCATATTAAATTTCTGGAATAAAGGGAAAAGAATGATTAACAACTAGACGATAATGTCATTTCAGGAAGAAAAATCTTGTCGACCCACAACAGCAAATTCTCTGTGTAACCCGATAGATCCAGAAATAGATGACCTTTACATCACATATAAGAGACTTGAAAAACAGTTAGAGTTTCTGGAAGTACAAGAGGAATACATCAAAGATGAACAAAAGAACCTTAAAAAGGAGCTCTTGCATGCCCAGGAAGAAGTGAAGAGAATCCAGTCTGTACCATTGGTTATTGGGCAATTCTTAGAAGCTGTTGATCAAAACACTGGAATTGTTGGCTCCACAACTGGTAAAGACGTACAGTAGTCATTTGCATGTTTCATKAAAATCTCTTGAAAAATGACTCGAAAATTAAGAAAAATATATGTTCATGACAGAATCTGTTGAGTTACGGGTGTATGGAGGAGTCTGGTAAGCATAAAGAAAAAATGTAAGAAGTGACACACAATGCAAAGAGGAGTGCCACTCTAGCCTTTTTGAATTTGTTTGTATGATCTTTGCATAATAATGAGCAGGCAACACAGAGCATACCGTATTATATACTCAGTATAAGCCGCTCATAGATAAGCCACACCTTGAGTTTTTGGAACGTTTTTTCGCATTTCAAAAAAATATTAATTAAAAGCAGATTGTCTTTTTTAATATAAGGAACAATTTCTTAGGCTTATTTCTTGGATATTCAAAATATTTACCCTGGATTCTTCATTTAAGTGTGACAAAGTCCCTTAAAATGAACAGTGCAAATTAGCATTGTATTGACTTATGTTTCTCAGAGTTAGATTTTCGGAGAATTTATAGTAACAGTACTGCATTTGCATTAAAAATAATATTTCTGTCCGCACCGTGTAAAACAAACTTATCATATTACTGATTGTCCTAGACAGTTTATAATACGTTGCCAACTGTCTGCAGTAAGTAGCAAAGTGAATGCTAATTTATGCAAATTACCGTATTTATCCATGTATAAGCCGCTCTCGTAGATAAGCCGCACCTCGAGTTTTAGGAACGTTTTTGAGGGGGAAAAAGAYGGAAAATAAACTTTTCTCTTTTTTATCGCCACTTGCRAACACAGTTTTCTTTGATTTTAAAGTGCTTTTCTGCTGCTCGATTTCCGTGATTTCCGATTTGCGGTGTATGATGAATTTGATCTTGGAGACATAATTGTTAAGATTGATAATTGATACTTTAAAGAGTTGTTTTTCATTCAAAAGGTAAAAGCAAACTAGTAATTAACTTGAGTGATATAAATCTCATCGTGCCGCCAAATTTCTAAACATAAGGATCATGCCGAAACCGTTTCGTATTTCAAAAAGATATTAAAGCAGATTGTATTTGTTTAATATAAGGAACAATTTCTTAGGCTTATGTCTGGGTATTCAAAATATTTACCCTGGATTCTTCACTTTAAGTGTGACAAAGTCGCTTAAATGATCAATGCAAATTAGCATCRCGTTACCAAAACAACTCTATAAACTCTATAAAAACAAATGCTCTTTGTGCATTTTAGCTCAATAACCACACACTTTTCAGTTTGATTTATTGACTTSTGTTTCTCAGAGCTAGATTTTCGGAGAATTTATAGTAAYACTGAGAWGTTTGGRTTAAAATTTCTGTTCCCGCCGTGTAAAACAAACTTATCACATTACTGATGTCCTGTCTGCAGTAAGTAGCACCGTGAATGCAAATTTATGCAAATTAGTTTTTATTGGGCATTTTTACAAGTCTTCTCGTAGATAAGCCGCACCCCCGATTTGTGAGCGATTTTTTACTCGTGACCCGGCCCTTGGCCGGGTCACGAGTCAGAAAATGCAGCGAGTTTAGTTTTGTTATTTTTTTTTGTAATATATACAATATGAGCGGGCGATCTGTATGAGGATAAAAGGATAAACCTCATACAGATCGCGCGCGAATATTGTATATTACTTATGAAACGTTGAGGTAAACTAGCTCAGGTTTTAAAGAAACTTTTGAAAAAAAAAATCAATCTGACCGAGAAAAATCAGAGTTAAAGTTTATGCAAATGAACAAGAAATCTGTATGTAATATACAACTCTCTTCATGGGCTATGATTTCTATTGTGTTTTGCCTTATGAATATTAATGAGTTTTATAATTTCTATGTGAGACCTTTGTCTTCGGGCTGACCTTTGCGTCCCGAATGCATATCACATTGCGAACTCGGGTGTACCTTTGTCCCMGATCGCACTCCGATCTCTAAACGAAATATCACATTACGAACTCGGCTGTAAACAAGCGTATCATAGAACAGCAAAACTGCTCGGGATTTACTGTATCTTTTAAACTAACGAGATAYAAATCAATACTTCGTAGATAAATGAAGCCCGTGGATGCCTCATACAGCACGCACTTTGAATTGAACAATTATTCTTCAAAACTCGGAATTATCGACTGTTGAGGTCAGACTCTGCTGCTTATTACTCATCTGAGTATTTGGAGTATTTTGAAAGTTATACAATCGACAGCTCTTCTACATACGAACCAGTACTCTAAACAATCGTATCATAGAACAGCAATAACTGCCCGGGATTTACTGTTGTAGTTTTTTAGTAATTCTTTGATATTCGAGGCCTTTTGTTATTCCAAAACATTCATCTGTGTAAGAGCATGTATTAGGACATTGGTTTAGGTCATAAAGGTTGGTGTATCGAGCCAAATAGTTCATTTTCCTTGGCGAGATATAAACCGATACTTCGTAGCTGACTACGTGGCTGTCTGATTCTGAGTTGCATAGCCTATATTTTCTAATTTGATGAGGGATTCTGTCTCTTCTGGTTAAAGAAAACAATGCTATTCACAGATGAGTATTCCTAGATGAAGATCATTGAAGCGATCATG